CCAACAAATACTTTATTAGTAGGGTAATGTAGATTATTGATAGCGGGAATAGTAGCGGTGGATTGGCCGAAGGTAGAGTAGAGCACCCAGGGCTAATTTGTAACATAATGGCCATAAAACCGTTACAATATTATGGTTATACTTTAACTAGGGACACTAAATTAATTCTGTAATAAGCAAAATAGAGTTCCATATGTCTAGTATTTTGTCTTAAAAAATTAATATGCAATATAAAATAATGAATAATTACTTTAAGATAATTTTATATTTATTGAAAATAAATTATGAACATTTTAAACAAAAATATTATTAGTCATAATTTAGTATTAAAGCCAATTGAATAACAAAACACTTAAGATAAAATATGTATAAGTCAAATATAATATGCAATTACTATATCAAAATTCATGTGAATTGATAAAAGAAATTTTTCATATTGGTTTAGTAGCTAGGCAAAACTAAGAAAAAAATATTGTTTAACAATTTCAAAAAAATATTAATCAAATATTCCATAACTAATTGTGTAATTAATTGTATAACATACATTGTATATTAATTATCATAATTATAAATTACCATCGTCAGTTAATAACTATGATTCAAACAAAACATTTAATTAATTCTATTGAGAATAGTGTTAGCGATTGTTTGTTGGGTTTGGCCCTCACTAATGATGGGCTTATAATGATTCCCAAATGCAATTCAATTGTCCGTAAAGATTACCACGAGTATCGTAAGAGTGGAAATGTTATGCTCATTAGTGGAGGTAATTATAATTAAATATTTTATTTATAAAAATAATTTTAAATATAATAATCTATATATTAAAGTATTTATAAATTTTCATCATAAAGTTTAAATAAATAAAGATAATTTTCTATGTCATTATTTATAATTTATAAACAATAATCCATGTCAACATATTATCTAAAATCTATGATTTAATGCAGAAAAAGTAAGATAAATATTATTCATGAAATTTATTGAAATAATATTAGGAATACCTTTTTCTTGTTGCATAAAGGTAATGAGTAGCTACATGATATAAAGATGTACTAATGATATAAGTTATACAAATCTCTTTATAATATTAATAAATAATTTTATCTTAGCAAACTCAGTCATGATCTTAGCATTACCAATGTTAAATCTATTTCATAAATTCATGATAGCACATGTTATACTTGTTGTATTGATATATACGTAGAATTGTTTATGCTTATGTCATAGACTTAGTATTGCTTATTATAATTCTATGGATTATTATTTATATTTAATATATTAATTATTCAATGTAATAAACATGTGGTTCGGGCCACGAGCCAATGTTCGCCGGCTTTGTGGGCACCGGTCTGTTAACGGGTGTCGTGTCGGGCGAGATATTCGCTTCGCCGCCCTCTAGAATGGCGTATAAACTCATCGAAACGATTGCCGACCAAGACTTGGATAACGAGATACTTATAATAGTAGCCAACTATACGGGCGATCGACTAAACTTTGGGTTAGCGTTAGAACACGCGTTGTTGAAGGAATACAAAGTAGATATGTTTGTGTTCGGCGATGACGTGGCCTTCTATGGCAAACCAAAAAGCGCCGGCAGGAGAGGGTTGGCCGGCATTGCGTTCGTTCATAAAATAGCCGGTGCACTCGCTGACGAGGGCTATACATCACACAAAATCAAATCAAACCTCGAGCAATACGGCGCTCAAATTGGCACAATATCCATTAGCCTGAATTATGCGAAAAAACCTAGTACAGCTGCGCTACCTAGTATAAAATCTAAATTGGCGGCCGACACGTTTGTGTTGGGTATGGGAGTGCACGGCGAGGATGGGGTGGAAAAGGTGAAAATGTGTTCGGCGCACGATATGGTCGACATTATGCTCGAACAATTAGTTGGCCGCAAATCGTTGCTCAACGACTCAATACATCGGCACAACAATCGGGTGGCGATTATAATCAACAATACGGGCGGTCTATCGATATTTGAGCTCAACATCATTGCCAAAGAGACTGCGCATCAATTGCGCGACCGAAACATACGCGTCGAGCGGCTATACGTGGGCTCATTCATGACCTCGTTCTCAATGGCGGGCGTTTCGCTGTCGGCGCTGGCGGTCGACGATCGACTGCTTGAACTGTTGGACCGGCCATCAGTGTCGAGCGCGTGGACACAAGCACTCAATGCGCCCCAAATTGTCAACCCATGCGCGGAGTTAGCGGATCGTGCGCTCAGCCAATCGACTGAGACGACTGATTACGACGCCATCGACGGCCTCCCATTTGGCAGACAACTGTTTGTAAGAGCCGTTCAACTGTCGTGCGAGCGTTTGGTAACATATATTTATTTATATAAAATAATGTGAAAATATTTTTATAATTGTATTTACGACAGTTTTTAAGTTGAATAATGGTTAACAATTTTAACGAGTTTTATTTATATCTAATTATTGCTACCAGTATACAATTATTATAATACTTAATTAACGTTGTTAGATTACGTCCGAGAACATAAACCATCTAAACGATTTGGATACAGATGTTGGTGATGGTGACTGTGGCTCTACTCTAAGCAACGCCGCCAATCATTTTCTCGCAATAATACAAAGTAACATAAATGATCATATACCATTTTTAACCATCAAAGAACAATTGACAAATTAGATAAAACTGGCTTAAAAGTAACATGAAAACAATGAAAACTCTTTAATAAGAACATGGTGTTAAGAAATACTACAACCCTAAAACATCGGCCCCACCCCCTCCCCCGTACCAGCATTTTGTTGTAAACAGTTTACTGAATACTTAATAGGTGATATATACCTTGCAGGACCACGCTTATCAAGGGCTTTCATTATTATCTACAAACTTTTTACGCCAGTTGTGAAAACATATTTACTTTTAATTAATCGTTAAAACAATTGCCTTAAATAAAGCGCAACAATTAAAGCCCTCGTTCTTCCAAATGTCGCACATGTGTGAGTACAATATGGGCGGCGCTTCCGGTGCCTTATATAGCCTGCTGTTTACAGCCGCGTCTCAGGCCATTCGCTCAAACGTGCGCAAAATAGACCAATCATACGATTGTATAAATTTATGGAAAGATGTCCTAAAATATTGTCTGCAAACAATCACTCAATACAGTTCGGCTAAACCGGGCGATCGATCAATGCTTGGTTCGTATTAACAATTTAATGGCAACATAATTGTGCTTGATTATTAAATTGCTAGATCCGTTGTACAGCGCGTATCAAATTCTGGGTAAATGTGATCATACATTAAAATACCATGAAATCGCTAAATTGGTCGCACAGGGTGCAAAGGACGGGGCTGGTAAGCTCGATGTTTTAAATGATCAATTTTATCTAACCATTAAACAAACTGCAATATTAATTTCAAATCACAATCATCTCAATAGATAGCACGGCGTCAATGGTTGCTAACGTCGGCAGAGCTTCGTATTCCCCATCGGTTCGTAAACCAGATGCCGGAGCCGTAGGCGTCGCCATTTGGATGGATGCTATCGCTGAGGCATTTCGTGAATGTTATGGTAATAAACACTGATTGCACGACAATGCTGGTCACCATTTGGATCATGTTTGTATGGATAACATGGAAATATTAAATAATAAAGTTGAACAACGCTTATATTAATTTTATTTTAAAAAATTCTGTCAAAATGAATATAAAGAGACGATAATAAGCAAAACAATTTATGAGTTTTAAAAATAAATAAATTGATAATATTTCATAACATTTACTGAAATATTTAGTATAAAACAAAGTTATGAATCATAACTTATGATAGAAAAGCGATGTTTAGATCTTACCCGGATTTCATTGTATTTAGTTTTTTAATTATAATTTAATAGTGCTTGTGTTTTCATAAACAATATCTTATAGAAAACTGAATTAGCATTAGTTTTAAGTGTGTTTAACACAAAATTAAAATCTTCATGAGTCGTGACAACAGTCTTATCAATAGACCACTTGTTATGATTGGCCAACACTTCCCGACACTCAGGCCTTTGTCTCCAATTGGGTGTTGACATCATTGCCAGTAATGTCTGGTATAGACATTGTATGGATGTCTTGAACACTGATTCCTTAGCCACATATGTTTCTGACCTGTAAATACGTATTAAATTCATAATAAATATATTAATAACTTATCATAAAAACGTAAATATTGAATGAAATCTTTACGCCTGGAAATCAATACCAAACAACTCTTCGCCGATAACATACAGACTATAAATGTCTGATTTATGGTTATATTGTTTACCCATAAGTACTTCGGGTGACATATATTTAATACTACCCACACCTGGTGTGTGGCCGTATCGGCTGGAAGTGCTTTCAGTGATGTTGTGTTCGGTGGCCAAACCAAAGTCACACAATTTTATAAAACGATTGGATCTAATGTTGGGATTAATTAATATGTTGTCGGGTTTGAGATCCCGATGAATAACAGGCGGATCCGATTCATGCAAATATTGAACACATTGTAAGATCTCTTTAAATATTTCGCACGAAATAAAGTATTCAAAGACATTCATCTCATCTTCCGGTTGTCGCCCAAAGACAATGGGTTTGTCTCTGAGAACAGATTTAAGACTTTGTGAACAGAATTGCATTTGAATGAAGAGATGATTGGACTCAAGCCATGAGTTGTAATATTTGACAACAAATTTTGAGTTCAGTTTTGATAACGTTTTAACTTCTCTAAGGATTTGATGTTTCTTTTCTTCACTAAAATCTTTGAAAATATTTAATTAAATATTTTTATAAATCTAATATTTAATAAAATAGTTAAAATTATAATATTTACCCTCAAATTGCACTCTTTTAACGGCATATATTTTATCATCCAATCTATGCTTTACTTTAAATACAGTCCCAAAACCACCCGAACCAATGGCTGACCGCACTCTGGATGAGTTTTTTCAATGTGTTTTCGTATTCGGGTGACTACATTAGATACACAAGCTTTCGTTGGTATTGGGCATGTTTGAATATCCCAATAAACACCTA